GAGTTAATATTGGAAAAGCTGAGATCCAAAGTAATAGATTTTCAAAAATGGTGTTCTTGATGCTTCAAGATAAAGGATGACTTTTTTTCAGTTCTTATGAAGTATCTAGTCCCTTTTAGCTCTCTTTAATGGGGAGTTTATCAAGACTCAATATTAAAGCTCCTACATTCACTACCACCTCGCACTACTTGAGCTTGTTTGATAAGAAGAGCTACTGCAAATAACACACTGGTACTCTTAAGTGAGGCACAAATGCATCAGACTCTAGAAATCATTTAGCTTCAAGTCAGAAAAAAGGAGGAATAGCTTAAGTATCTCAAAAGGTCTCACCAATATCTCTTCAGCTGTCCCTCCTTTAGTCCATTTTGAGATGTAGATCCATGTTTAATAAGTATTCAAGTATGTACTTGGCTTTAAGCACAAGTAATAGTGTGGACACCTACTCATGGGCTTGGAGTGATATGAATAATTATACTTTACTAGTAGAGAAATTTATTCTAGAAGATCATGACAAAGACAGTGTTTACAAGTGTATTTCCAAAACTCCTGGTACATCTAGTCCCCATCTCAATGGGAGGAAGAAGGAACTACAGGTGACAAATACAGTTTGCTTAAAAAATGTTTTTTGAAATCCGTAACTCTCCTCTGTGAAGAGGAAAATGCAGATACTATTTTCTGTGTTCTTTAGGGTTTGTACTTTTCTATTAGATTCTATGTCTTTCACTAACCTTGGGTTCAACAAGGATCATTTCTGCCTATCCAAACCCCTCACCAGGACAGCTTTACTGCCTAAGTTCTGTTCCTGTAGAGCATCTCTCTATGTTAAGCTGCTGACAGATACAAGGAAAGAAAAAGCTCAGATTTGCAAAAGTCAATTATTTGAAGTTCTTTACATTCTCTTTTGCATGACCCTGTTACACTGCCATCAATTTTTTACCAGTCTTTACTATTTTTATTTTCCAAGCAAATGTAATTTTCAAGGAACTTATCCAGCTGGCAAACTTGGAAAATGAAACACACTGTCCAAAGAACAAGGTTTGCAATGTTATGAGCTTCATACATTTTGCATCAAATAACAATGCCCCACCAGCCACCACCATGACTTAACCACCTCAGATCTGGGTGAGCTTTTCCATTCCTGACTTTCCTGTGCAGACCAACAGACAACATAATTTTCACTTGTGCTGGGTCCTTCTGTCATGTCCACAAGCAACCAGTGCAAAAATGCTCACCTCCTCCTGAAACAATCATCAGATAGGCAGGACGCCTGATGGTATAATCCTTCTAGACTCTGAGCTGAGCAGGATTTCTGCTGCTAAAGGCAGCCTCTTGAGAGACCACTCGGTATCTTTCACTATCCAATCATACCACTGCATGACTGCATTGGAACTGAATTTACATAATACCACACAGGGACAGTTCATCACTTCTTTCTATAGTCTTGAGCCAGCCTTGTCTCACATCTTTATAACTCAAGATATTTGACAGTTCTCCCCAACAGGATGCTTAACAACAAGGCTCCAATGGTGCTTAATCACCCTGCTGTGAATCTGGTTGGACCACAAAGCAGTTCTGCTTCCAGTTCAAGAAGGAAATTTAAAAAGTAATTAAAAAAAAAAATTTGTACTTAACAAGAAACAAAACTGTAACCACGTTGCTCCCTTTCCTGTTCATTTCATCATGAGAGGTATGGAGTTTAAACAGAAGGAAATTTGAGAACTTAAATAGTGTGCCAAGATCTCTCTGCAAGTGCATTCTTCCTTACAGCAGTGACATAACAGTATGCAAACACCTTGAGGAAATGCAGGTGGATCAGCTGTCACAATATGTAGAATAATACAATTTTTAGGTTGGAAAAGACTTTTAATGTTGTTGAGTCCAATTGTTAATCCAGCATTACCAAATGCAGCACTAGGTAGACCATGTCCCTATGTGCCATGTCTTCACATCTTTTAAATACCTCCAGGGATGGTGACTCATCCAGTTCCCTGGGTAGCCTGTTCCAGGGTTTGACAACTCTTTCAGTGAAGAAATTTTTCCTAATAGCCAATCTAAACCTCCTCTGGTGCATCTTGTGCTCATTTCATCTCATCCTACCACTTATAACTTGGGAAAAGTGACCAATCCCCACCTCACTACAACCTCCCTGCAGGTCAGTACCTGGGGCGCCACATCACAAAAATTATTTATCAAAAAATAATTCAGGAAAAGAAAGTATTCCTGCCAACATAGCAGAGAAAGAGTTCAGAAGCAGACAGGCTTTCCTTTGCAGATAGAATCCTTGTCTCTAGGACACGACTTGAGATCCAAGTTAAGTCTCTTGGCCTTGCCAGTATCCTTCCTGTGTTATCAGAATCTTTGCAGATCAGCCTATTCTGTGTAGCAAAATTTGAACATTACATGAAATATTCCCAGGTAAAATGTCATTTTGTGGCCTGTCTACTGAACCTGCTCAACTATTTACACACAATAACCCCCATTTCAAAGCAGGATCTGAGACACAGTTTAGCCACCAGAGACAGGGTTTTTTTTATTTTCAGTTTATTTTGGCCACAGTTCATGTGTGCTTTTGTGTATTGAAAGTTACAATCCTTGGCCAAGCCATTTCACCAGATATATTAAGAATCTGATCCCTCCCTTGTTGAATGGTGGCAGAACTCCCACTGACACCATGAAAACAGGATTAAGCACTAATCTTTTGCTCAAAGAATGAATGTATTTTTTTTTAGCTCCTAAAGTGCAAACACGACCCAGGTCACTGCATTTTTCTGCTGTACATTGTTTAATATTTGCCCAGTGTTGGGTTTGTTATAGCTTTTATTTAAATCCTCTTAAAAAAGGGGATAAAAAAAAAAAGAAGAGAGGAGATGGAAGTGCGGCATTCACGGTTTTTTTAATTATGAGAGAAATCATGAGTTCTTCCTGACACTAATAACAACATGTAAATTATGATGAAAGAGGTTGCTGAAAAAATCCTGTGATTTTTGCAAAGAATTTCAGAGGCCAGCATAAGAAGTGTGATGGAAAATAAAGCAGGATAATAAAGCACTAAAGGAAAAAATGGGCCAGATTGTATCTAAAGCAAATTAGCCCAAGTTCATTTGACTTCAGTGAAATTATTAAAATTTAGCGCAGTTTTGGCCCATGTACTAATTGCTCAACTTATGAATAGCAATGAAATTTGAACATTTTATGTTTAAATTATATTGTGTACAAAAATACTGGCTGGATTTTGAAAGACTATAACAATTTGAATTCATACCTACCTTATCCAAACTGCTGGCAGTTTAGCATAAATACTAAATCTGCCTGGAAAAGGGAAAAAAGATATTAAAATATTTAATTTTTTTTAAAAGTTTCTTGAAATGACAGATAGCAAATACACCGTAAAAGAAAACAGGACTTGAGGTAGGACTGTGAACTCAGCTATAAATCTGGAGTTATTTCAGTAAAATGATTATAGATTTTCAGCTTAAAATCTTTCTCTGGACTTTTCAATGTATTAAAACCAAAGGTGAGTGGATTTGGGGTTTTTTTAGATCTACAGTTGTGAAAACTCAGGAAATAGAGATTGATAGCAAAAAGCACTACATTTTATTACTGTTGATATTCAAATTACTCATCAAATACTGTTTTATTCCATTTGCTGAATTTTACTGTGAATTTTTACTTTAATAATAAATCACCAATCGACTTTTTCTGGCAAAAGATAGGAACCTTCACAGTATACAAGCAACCCATCCCAGCTGCCTGGGAGTAATATCTGCTCTACAGCATATGGGCCCATCCTGCAGCAATCACAGTCTTCTCACATCTCTGACTGTGGGGACAGTGGGAAACACCCAAGGAAGCAGAATTTGCCAATTTGGTAACTAAAAAAAGTTGTGTGAGAGCACTTGGAAGAACAGAACAGTCAGAGACATGAAAAAACCTGCCAGGTAGCTGTGGCAGACAGTGCACTGAGATTGCCCTGCTCTATCATATACCACATCTTCGTGTCATACTGCACCGGAGTAGGAGCTTGATTGACAGTCAGGTTACGGGGTTTTATTCCTGACCTCTGACATTTTTTTCTATCTTCATCCCACTTTGCAGCACGGTTCTGATTTTCAGCTGAGATAACTTCTCATAGTTCTTTCCCACAGCCCTGGCATCGCTGCATAGGGGGTGATACAAGACCTATGTGTAGCTATCATGCATGAAACATTCCATAAGGTCTCAGCACTATGAGTGTTGCCACCTGGAAAATGGAATTTTTGCAATTCCTATCTGTCTGTTTTAGGCATATTTCATCCAGCAGAGAGAAAAACGACCTCAGGTACAGGTACATCTATGACTCTACAAGGAGGGATGAAAACTCATGTCAAAAGGCACTGAGTATCTCTGTGCAATTGTTCCTTGGTTCTGTAAAGTCCCAGGAATGGGCCACAGGGTCAGTGTCTCCTGCCAGGGTACTGCCACACACCTCACCTTTTCCAACAGAGGAAAGAATAACAACTGTCTTCTATAACCTTGTAGAAGTCATCACACCAGAATGTTTCCGTGGCATAAAGGAAAAAATCACTCCCTGGTGTCCTTTCTTCTTCTCTTTCATTGTGCTTTGTGGATAGATCAGGACTCCCTGGCTTTTGAAATGCCAGCTTCTGGGCCTTTAATCAAGCACCTGGCTCTTTTCAAAAAGAAAATCATAAAAATCGTTCTTGAACATTCCTAATGCTTCTTCTAATACATCTTAATGTCTATGAATGCTCTTTCATGGCATTTTGCATCGAAACAGAAGGACAGCCTGGATATGCTATGAATGCACAGTGAAACTCAGAGCATGTTTGTGTAATGTCAGGTCATCAACGTTAGCAGTGCACCAAGTCATTTCTGAAAAGAAAGTAAGAGAAAATACTGATCCAGTCCTAAAACCAGCAACATCAATGTCTGATTCTGAGATGATACCAGGAAATTCCCTAAATCACTACTATTCCCTTAGAACAAAATTAGCACAGAAATTGAAGAAGGCCTGCAGTGTGCTTTGAAAAAGGGAAAGCACAGCTTTGTTTTTATTTTAGCCAGTACAGTAATGAACCCCAGCTCAAAAACACTCCCCACCCTTATTTAGACAAAAACAGAGTAGGCCCCACTTGTGTAGGAACTGCACCTGTTCAGCTCTGGAGACAGCAGACTGGGTGGCACTCATCCATCCAAGCAAGACCAAGGGCAAAGGTCCTTGCTCCCCTCCTCCTGATGTGTTTCTGAAATGTCACAGGAACATGGAATTTCCTGGTGGCCCTGGAATTTCCTCCAAGGATGAAGGCACCAGAAGCATGTGGCTGACCTTGGCAGTCTTGTTTGTTTTATGCATCCTGCTTCTTAAGGCTTGGATTCATTGCTGAGATCCAATGTCCTTTGGGTATTTTCTTACTGGAAGGGAAAGTTTATGCATATTTTGGGAAAGTATGTTTTGATTTGGTTTGCTTGTTGTCCCTCCTTCAGGATCTAGTTTTTCCATGTGTCAGGAAAATAAGATGCTAGGTTTCAAAGGGTTCTACAGGTGCACCAAACATGATCCAGATGCCAGACAGAACACACTCACTGTATGAAGCTGTCAGCCTTGGTTCACCCAGACACCACCACCTCAGCAGCTTTCCCCATAGCTCACTTTATCCTCTGCAGCAGGTGATTAAAATGCCTGTTGGAATGATTTGCTGATAAGGTAATAGCACTTCTCTTCCTTCCAAAATATGCTTGCCAACACAGAAATCCATTCTGACCACTGTACTCAGGTTGTTCCTGGCAAAAAAGAAAAAAAAAAAGGAGGGGGAATCTTTAAGGAGAAAGTGGCCCAGCAGAGCAGGGCTCAGCCCAAGCAGAAAGCAGTCATAACAGTGAAGTGAATGCTATGGACCATTACCCTGGGAGTTGCCTGGCACACTTCTAAGGGTCCTGCCCCAATGTTCCTCTGCCCAGTCATTAAAGAGAGAGGCAAGTTGGAATTAATAGCTTTGACCGCCCTTAGACACAACCACGTGCAGCACATGACAGGCAGAATGCTTGGGAAAGAGGGAGACTGAGCCACATCCATATGCCAGGCTGCTCAGCAGCTACTTCTGCATTCTCTATCTAAAAAACTCCCAAGGTTGTTCAATTTCATCCCATGCTCCTGAAAGCCTGGAGTCCTGATATGATGTACCCCAATCATTCTACAGAGTTGGATGAAAAGCAAAGTTCACTGTGTACCACTTTCCCTTCCTGGCTCTGCAGCTCTCCACCTCCAGCTGCAAGCTCAGCAACACTAAGTATTCAAGCACAGCAAAGCACTTTGCCGCAGCTGTGCCCAGCAACAGGAAAGCACTTCCACTAACTTTTCCTGTCAGTCTCAGCACTTGCCTGCTGTTGCTCACCTCCCCAGGAGAGCAAAGCTCCCACTCAACTACAGGAGCCACCTGCTTTCCCCTCAGCAAGCCGCCCATCTTCTGTCATGCATCTTCCTTATGGACAAGGTTTGGTCCCCCAGCCCTTGTTCACCCAGGTCGGTTTGCATTGTTTGAATAACGAGCTCCATTTCAGGAGGATCTTTCCTCCAGATGGATCCAAAGCATTTCACAAACTGTTAATTAAGCAAGCCAAACTCAGCAGAGAAAGCTCTCCTTAACACTGCACAACAAATCCCTTTTGGATGTTAGGAAGCAGATGTTTTACCACCAACCCAGCACAAGTAATGAGGGCTATGGGTAAGGAAACCGTCCGGGGAGGAAATACCTGAGTGTATCAAAGGTACCAAATCAGATTATTTATGATTTCTTCTAAACAAGAGGCACCATAAAAGGGAGGCTGGTTCTTTTCCTCCACTGTTACCAGGGAGGGCCTGCTCCAGATCCTCACTGAGCTCCTGGAGATGCATGTCCAGGTTCCTGCCTCTGTGTTCTGAGACGGTTTAGTCTATGGGGAATAAAAGTTACTAAAGGGTTTTTCTTGCTTTTCAGTTTTTCATTTTCCTTATGGTCTGTTTTTTCACCAGAGGTTAAAGCCTGGTTCCTAAAGGCTCCTAGACTCCACAGTAGTGATGGGGGTCAAACCCCCTGAATTCCCAATAAGATTTTTAGACTGCAGTGTTGGAAGAAGAAAAGCGTCAGCAGAAGAAATAAACATCTGCGTATCTAAAATCCTCTCACTCCATTGGCTTTGGTCATGACATATGAGCCCTACAAGCATAAGATGTGTCCTCAAATTATCTTCTGCCTAATTCTTTGACTTTGCTGGTGATGGATAAGGCCCTTGCTTACCTAATGTAACCAAAGAGACAAAGCATGCCTGCACGCATGTCCACATTCAGGAAAGCTATGGAATCCACCATTTTCCATGGGAAAAATGGAGGACAGCATAGGCCAAAATGTCCACCTACCTCTCACATGGCCATGTCTCCCACCACTCCCCATGGCTCGGTCACACAGGAAATGCCAGCCAGGAAGACTGAATTGAGGTCCCTCTTACCACATCAAATGCCAGGAGGACAGCAGAGTACTGTAAGGCAGAATACAGGGATTTGCTACTACTATAACACTGGTCCAAACAGTCCTTGTCCCAGAAACCTAGAGTGAAGGTACCTCAGGAAGTATGGAATTTAGCTGGACACCAGAGGCCAGCTATGGAGATAACCAAGGATGTTTTACCTGTGCCAGGAGGTCAAGGACAAGTGGAGATTGCTGCAATTTCCCTGTCAGGGAGGAGTTGTGACACTGACAGTGCCAAACTGAAACAAGGCTCATTTTATGCCAGGATGAGGCTTTACTAATCATACTTGTATCTGATTGTGTCCCACTTCACGTTTTCGAGGCACACTAAAAAGCTGTGACTAAAGAGGTAACTTCAAGGGGGAAATTTCCATTTTAAACTAGCACCCTGCAAAAATAGAAAAAAAAAAATTGTAATATAGACAGCTGACCAAAGGCTATCTTATTTGCATAATGAATGCTCCCCATCAAACAGAAAAATTAAAGCCCTTTGAGTTCAGATTTAACATTAGCTACATCCTTGAAAACTGCCCCAGGGTGCAGAAATATGCATAAGTGTTTCTACTCTGGTACCAGAAGTGATTGTACCTTCAGGAAATGCTTTTTAAACCAGTTTCTGACTCTCACTTAAACTACTTAAACACCTTCTTGCAGTTCCCATGCTGAGTTTTGTTACAGATTCCATCATAAATGCTGAATCCCAAACACCTCTCAAAGTACTCCCTTTTGAAAAGCATAGGAAGTCACACAGGGATGAGGGATGCTCATTTCCATTAGGATTTGCTACAGACCATAGACCCCTGCCTATGCTGGATGGCTTTCCGAAGTCCTCTCATTCATGTAATAATGGCATTGATCTGCAAAGCTCCTTGATGCCTGGGAGGCTTGAAGAATGGTTAGAAGTCTTGTTTGGGAAGTTTTCTGAAGTTTCTCATTTTTCTACTGTTTGTAGGAAAGGTCTGTATAACTGCAAGGTAAGAAAATTGTTCTTCATGTTTCATTATTGAGAAAGCAGCCACCACTGAGAAGCCACAATAAGACTTTCTCTCTTTTCAGGCAACAGCCCACTAGACAATTGAAGTCTGTTATTTCTGCAGAGTTCCTATTCATATGGAAAATTTTCAAATAAGCAGCACATTTTAGAACAAGACAATACAAAACATGAGAAAAAAATGTGTCTCCTGTTTAATTTCCCTGCAGTATGGAATTTGGGTTTAAAGAAGAAGAAACCTGTGAACACAGAAAAAGACATAACTCCGTTTTTACAAAGATGAAAAAACAAACAGATAAAAACTTGTCACTTGACTTGCTATTTACCCAGAATTTTCTAAATTCTGTGAATGATTTTCTAAATTCAAAGTACACCTAACATGAAGAAAAATAAACAAAGTGTCCCTATTAAAATTTTTTATGAAAAGCACATAGTACTCTACTTCTTACATTGCACCTCTTTCTGAAATGGCACAGAGGAGTCTCTACACACAATGATCACTTCCGCCTTTTGCATTGTCAGCTACAAGAAAATCTAACCTGAAAGAGGACTTTGGTTAGGAATAGGGGTATACTCCTCAACTTTCTACAAAACATCTGCTGAAGTAGGAATCAGCATCTTTTCCTTGGTAAAAAGGAAGGGTTTGCCTTTTACAGGCTACAAATACTGATCAAATATTGTTCTGTCTTCTCGTGATTCTCCATTGTCTCATCAGCAAAATGTACACAACTATTTCACCATAAGCATTACCTGGGATAAGGACAATCAGCAAAGGGAATTGGCAGGCTCTCTGTTTCTTGGTGTCTTCTGGTTAATACAGGAGTCGGAGCAGGACTAGAAGCTCTGCTTTGATGACCTGCTGGACTGCAAACAAGTTTAATTAGAACAAATTATGTGTTTAATATTATAAATACCTCAAAGGTCCATTATGATCTTAAAATCTCACTTGACAGCCTATATGTTAGCTTGCAGCTTGAACTTATGCTCGAGCTCAAGCCCTAGACCTTCAATTGACATGATGGCTGCAATCTAAGACAGACCAAGTATCTCAGATGAAGTTCACACAGTCAGATGAAAGGAATTGGCTTGAACTGATTTTGACTCATAATTGGGGCACATGGACAGTATAGTGGATTTGGGTATCATTTTGAAAATCATAGCTTCAGAAACATAGCAGACAGGAAAACATTTGCAAAAAATCTCAGTGCCTACACTTCATGATCAGCTCCACGAAATAAACAGATCAGCTCTAAGTAGTCTGTGGTTCTAATTGCTATACCTTATCCCCCATATTAAACTTTTCTATCACTTGGCTGAGGAGCAGACACTGGCCTGTGGATTAGCCATCAGTAACAGCCCAGGAGTAACAACTGAGAAATGGCACAGTTTAAGATCAAGCCTGTGTTTTGCATTTATTTCTAGAATATTATTACATAATGACGTGCAGTGAATAGAGATGGAAAACAATCACAGCTTTGGCATGGAATTTCTGTATATACAAAATGACTGCATTTACAAAGTATATTATTACTGACACCTAATTTAATCTATCAGAGTGGTACTATGAGGGACTAATTAAAGTCAAAGTAGAACAAATGCTTGTACTTGAGAAAAACACCAGGGAAAACATGGACAGATTTTACCAATCTGCACGCCTCATTCCTGTCAGTGTGAAGTGTTTCTGAGGTGGTACATTTTACCTGCTTTAAAGCAGAGTCTATTCCATCAAGATAGTTACAAGCTTCAAAAGAGCAGATCACTGGCACTCACTATTTGACCAGTCTTGCTCACTTGAACAAGCTTAAGATTGTGAACTTTGAGCCTCCAATCACATTTTTAAAGTTTTTGCTTGCTTTTCATGATCACAGAAATCTATATCCCAAATATGATAACTTTCCCATGCCAAGAAGAAGAAACCAAAGCAAGTGAACAAACAAAAATGACAGGCAGGACAAAGAGAAGGAGGGGGGGAAAGGAGAGAGTGTGGTACTCCCAGCAAAACTGTTGGACCAACTGTCAGTTGCTTGTATGAAGCAAAGCCCCACAGCTACCAGGGTATTTTGCAGGGCATTAAATTCATTCAGTCTAGGGCCATGGCGAAGGGAGAAAGGACGCTCTCTGTATTTGTCAGTATGAATGTTCTTGTGTAGACATTCTTCATGTTTCTTGTCCTTATTGACACTACCCTGGACCATGGAGGCTGCATCTTTCAGTGATAGAGGGACAGCAGTCAGCACACAGCAAATCTGCCAGACTTTACCTTGCTGAGCACCGGGCAAAAAGCCCAGCAGCCCCTTCACAGGAGCAGTCTTGTATGCAAGGAATTGGGTGCAAGAATTCAAATACAAAACTAATTGAAAGAAAAAAATGGTATTTTTCACATAATTTTGATTCCTGCCCAAATGTTAATTTTTATCACATATATTCACATGTTCTGGCAGGACAAACGTGTGCCTTGACTGCATCAGCCGGGTCATGTTAATGGGCACATAATCCAGAAAGGTATTTCTGCTGCACATCAAGCCCTCTAGGCTTCTGAGGCTGTTTAATGCCAAGCACTGATTATTTCAGCAAATGAGGATCTTTCTCACCAGAGGCCAATATTTTGAGGATGCTCTGAAAAGATATGTTTTAAAATTCACTGAAGCTACAGAACTTCAAGACAACTAGTTATAGAGGGATTTCATCTAGTGACTGGGCTTCTGCCCTCAAATGCATTTGTAATCATTGTTGTGCTTGTTTTCACCATCTCTGGCTGGAACCACTCCTGAATACTCATATCCAAACCCAACTGCTTCTCCATCCTTGTGGCTCAAATTCCTTTCCAAAGGTAAGAAGAAATTTTGTTTTAAAGCAGGAGAAAACAGAACAGGCTGAGGTGAACATGCAACTTTGTGACTGCTTGTGGTCTCTTGGAGACTTTTGATCCATTGGGTCTTTCATTTTTGACATGACATGCTGTCAAAGTCAGAAAATGTGGCAAATGACCTGAGTAGCTGGGCAGGTCCCACGAGAATGGTACTAGAGGTGGGTGTACAACATATGCATCCAGGCAGCATGACTTTTCTTTCTACAATGCCAGCCCAGCCTGAAGGGACAGTGTCTGGTTTTAGAGCAGTCCTGTCTTTATTTATCCTGAGATGGCTTTCAGAAGGGCAGGAGCTGAGCTTTCCTAGAAGAATAGTCAGAGGCTGGCGTACAATTACACTGTATTACACTCAGTCAGATAAATCACTTTTGGGGTAAGAGGTTCATAACAACTCCAGACATGCCTAATAGTTCCACAGTGAGTCTCTGGACAAAGCCCGGGACTGGAAACAAAATGAAATCATTACATAAAATTATTTGTACTCCTGTAATGCTTGAGAGCCCCAGCTAAAATGAGACCTTACTTCAGTGAGTGCTGTGCAGATTCAGCCAGAGGCAGTTCCTGCCTGAAGTATCTGCTATCTCAGTAGAAAGGAGAAGGGCAGGGATGCACTTCTTCCCACTCTTCCCACAGGCATGGGCCCAGAGGAGGTCTGGGGCCAGCCAAGGCCAGTGTGCACGACTGCAGAGAGCAGGGGTTTTGTACCACCACATAAACCAGGTAGTTTACTGAGCCTTATTTTTATTGCTGTTATTATTAAATACATTATCAGAGCCTCCTCAAGTAGTGTTAATCAAGATGATTTCCTCAAGCTACGCTCCAAGAGGCATATTACACCCCCTACCAAACTTATTGAATTAAGTGAAGTATGCGCATTATCTTTGGTTATGGCTTTCAAAGCCTATGAATGCTACTGTAATTGTTTTCATAAAACAGATCAATAAGTAGAGTCAAAATAGGCTCTGCCTGCCTCAGGGGGAAGGCATTAAAAGTATCTGGATAACAGCTTTTTCAAGAGGTCTTTCTGCCTGCCAAACAAAGGGAACTTACTGCAAACTCTCACCTTCTCAGGAAAAGACCTTATTTCCAAGTCAGTCTATGAACTGTTTTTGAAACAGAAGATGGCAAGAGCTTTCATTTGGAATTAAGGAATCAAGTTAGGGTTGGCTAGGGTTTTTTAAAAAATTCCTAAATCATAAAGCATTTTAAATTAATTCACATTATAAAGTACCTCCCTCCTCCCACATGAGTGTTTGCAGATTTCATGTCACTTGGATGCAAAGAGGGATCTGCTAAATACTCCACAAAAAAAATGCTGGTAAAGTTTATGTTCCCTTGTGGACAATGGGAAACACAAAAGATACCAAAGGCCAATAAAATAAATGAAATAAATCTTCACTTCTTGCTATGTTGAAGAAACTTTTTAGTGTGTTTATCATTTGCTCCAAGACAAAATATGCCTTGCTATTTATGCAGCAAGTTAGCACATTTATAAAGACATAAATAAAAATATCAAGGTGAAACACTGAGGAGTTTATTAGCTTAGTTATTAAGAGCTCTTTACACTTAACAACCTAAAGCACACACAGAGCAATTTGTAATCAGCACTTTTTAAGCTCTGAATAATCCATTCCTTAAGCAAGCTTTCCTGCTTCCTTGAAAACATCTTTCATGTCTTCGAACTTTCAATGAGGAAAACCAAATTCATTAAAGCAACCTCTTCATTATGCTTTTCTCTCTCCCCCTTACTCCATCATATCTCCTGTTCTCAAGTGAGCTAATTACTTGGTAGTTGGAGCTACAAAACCTCCTGCCAGGGCAGGGCTCAGCCCTGGGAGAACATCTCTCAAGGATGGGATTCAGCTGGGTAAGGGACCAGTGCAACCCAGGGATGTGACAATTGGTAGAGCTGTTAGCACGAGCCTGAGACACTTGGTCCCCCTTTCTAGTTACACCCTTTCCTCTAACCAGAGATGTTCTCCTTCAGATCTCCTCCTTCCACTGCCATCTCCTCTTCCATCAAGAGTGCGTTCCCCTACTGCTCTATTTCTCCCTTATACACAAACTCCCATCCTCTCCCATCTCCTTCACCTCCTCCAATCACTGCAGTACTTGAATACCTTCTCTCCCTTTACTAGTTAGTTTTTTATTCCATCCTCCTTCTTTCTTTTCCCCTTCTCCTTATTGGTTTTCTGTCTTTTCAATACAATCTACCTTGGAAAAAATATTTCTGCTGCCAACTAGAATTTGCGAGATGTACTGTGCTTATTCAAGCCTTGTACTCACAATACCCCGGTTAGGTTAATATATTCTCTTAATTATCTTACTGACTGGCTGCAATACATCATCTTAAACCAAACTAGTAATATGTAGTGCACCTAAAGATATCTCCTAGAGTGTAAATGAACCTACAGTTTCTTGCAATGATCATGCAAGTGAGACACCTTCTGGCAAGGGTAACATGAAACACACACAGATAGTTTCCAAATAACAGGGTTTTTTTTTAAGTAATTCGTGAAAACATACCCAGTGCCAAGAGTTAAGTAGGATCAGAGAAGCAAAATTCATGTTTCAGATATAAATCCTGAAAATCTGTGCCAGTTTTACAGACTTCCCTAGAGGTGAGAATCTCAGCATAGGCACTTCAGCTTCTTTCCCTGACTGTCCATTTAAATTAAACTTCTCTTGTCCTCTGGACTGGAAGGTTTTAGGGATCACCTTGTAGCAGTTCCTTAAATTTTCCTCAAATTCAAAAGGTGAAGAATATGTGTGTCTGCAACACCCACCTGATAGCTTTCAGGATAGCCACAACACAATCTGGCACATGAAGATATTCTGTGACCTCTCCTATAAGCTTTTGCTTGCTCTTGGTGTTTTTAAATAACATTAGACAGAGAACATTTGGTGGGGGAATCTAAGAACCTAATACAGAGAGCCAATTCAGCTACAGTTGGTGGGAGAAGGGGTGGATTTGCAAGAAGACAATGAGAAAAAG